ATTGATGCAGAAACGCATAGTTTTAATGATACATGGAATTCAAAAGAGAACGTTAAAGCTAATGTTCTGATGAAATTTAATTTTGATCCTTGAATATTGAAACGCGAGAATTTGTAGTTTCGTGATTGGTACATGTTTAGCGCGATGCAAGACATGTAATCCGAGTTTGAATTTATCATTTATCGATTTTATGGAGCATTGATCTTCTTCATTAATCATCAATTCATGATAATGGAACAATTTTGTCGTTCATCTCTATTGATATCAAATCATTGGATTCAATAGGATAAAATTGTTTCGAGAAAGGTGAATCTAAGTATTGTGTGAAATTTGTGAAATTGTTATATTGTTTGAAGCTTATTCAATTTCTTAAATAAAAAGTATTGACTCAAAAAATTCGAAAACATTTATTTCGCGTTATTCACGATTAATTTATATATTATTATTTCGATCATGGATGTTTTGGTTGAAATGATAACAAGATAATATAAAAAATAAAAAACTTACATTAATTGAATACAGGGAACACTTTAAGAGTTTTGATTCGAATTCTTTTAATTTTTATTTGATCAATCTTTCTTTTGACGAAATTGATTAAGACAAATTAACGATGTGAAGTTGTAGCAAAAATAGATTTATGTTCCAGTAAAAGTAATGTAAAAGATAATAAAATAATATTTTTTTATTTCGAAAATATGTCTTTGGTTCTAATAATACGTGTAGTAAATGTAATATTTTGAGAACGATGTTGCCAATTTATAATACAAGATACTTGTCATTGTTGGGAACAATGAACGACATACTTGCGAACTGACTTTCTTGTACAATATATGTCATCTTTTGTTAGATCCCATAGAAGCTAGAATTGCATTTATTTTATAAAGAGAAAAAGAATTTCTCGATCAGACTGAGTCGGATTTCGAACCCATATTTTTTCACTCGACAAACAATTGATGTTGCCAAAATTTATTAATTTATTAAAAATCGTCGAACGAATTTTCTTTTTTATCGAAAATTATAAAAAAAAGCCTACATAAATGTCTGCAATTGAAACATTATTACATTCTCATGAAATAATGTAATAATTTTCAATTACGGTTTTTACGTAAAATTAAAATATATTGGTGATTCAATTTGATCGATGAAATAATTAATAAAGATATTAACGTGGAATTCGATATTATATAGTTTCTCGTTTCAATGGACAAATTTGAAAAATATATTTAAAATATTCATTATTATGCGACAATAATTCGTATTAGAAACTGAGAGGAAGAATTTTATATTTTCAAGTAACTTTGTATAATTATATAATTATTACTTATATTATTTTATCACATTAATTATACAGATTTCGACGATTCTAAATTAGATATTAATTTATGAATAATTTTAACAGATTAATTTTGAAACGAAATTACTTTTTCTACTGCGTAATTCGCAAGATTCAAATTTCCATTTTCCTCTTCCATTTCGAAATTTTCTTTCTTGAAGATTCTTATTAATCAAAATACTAAATCATTTATTAAACTTTTGCTAATTGCTAATTTATTTATTACGTCGCTAATTAAAATTTTTCTCAATTTACACACGAACCAAGTCATCGAAGTACCCTCTTATACTTATCCATTATGGAACAATATTTTCATGCGAAATTTTCATCTAGTTAAACAGCACATTGCTTGTGAGATAAATAAACATCGGAGAAATTTGAGAGAAATAGTAAATATCGATCGAAAAGACAATTGTATTCTACAATAACGAGATGCCATGCGCGTCGGTGAGCTTTAATAAATAAACTTCTCGTTCAGCGTAACTTGGAAGTTCAACCCTTGAAACAAGGGGGAAAATGGGAAATGATGAGACTTTTAGACATATTGCCGGTACGATACGCGAAATAAATAAATTCGAATTACAAGTACACGTAACGACGTGACAGCCATTCAAATTTTGGGATATTAATCTTACTCGTGAGAGATTTATCTAAATCTTGCTTATGAGATTTAATGAAATATATCGTGCCGTTTATCCCAATGAAACTACAATGAACAATAAAAAGTGTTTATAAGGTATCAACAAAACATGGTATCCGTTTCAGTACGGTGAATTATAAAATTATTTGTTCATTAAAACGAGATTAAAATTAAGTAAAATTGTGTCATTTTTTTCAACGAAATAATTAAAGAATATTTAAAGCATCGATAAATTGTAAAATATTTATAGTTTGTGATTTCACGTGATAGTTTGTGAATCACGTGGAAGTATTCGATAGACTTTGTATAGAAAATTTTTGTAAATATTTAACAATAATATATAGTAGATTAAATATAAAGTATATATATACATATTAATGTTTAATAAATTTATTTTTAATACTAATTATAATTCTTCTAAGTATTTTTTTTTTCATTTATTTCTATTTATTCAAAGTTTATTTTATATATAAGAATATTCTCGTGATTGTACATATATAATATGTAAAATACTTACGACAGAATTGGTAGACATTATAATTCGTTTGCTCGTTCAATTACGTAAGACTAACGAGGATTGTCTTCGAAAGAGGGAATATACTCTTTTAATGAGGAAATCGATTTAATGGGGATCTGATAACGAATCGTTTGATTCTCTTGTTTGAATGATACTGAATTCTTCGGGGTAGACTTTAGATAGAGTTTTATTCGATATTAGGGATGGAAAATGGAGGTAATAAAGAATTAATAAAATATTTTTAATTAATAAAATTTCTATTATATATATTATATAATATAATATATATTATATATATTATATTCTATTATATATATATTTCTATAACTCTTTCAACCGTTTCACATTTCATCAAAATGATATCATTAAATTCCATCGAAAATATTATCAAATTAATTCTCTTTTCATATCTCTTCAAACAATTAAAACTTCGATATTCGAAAAAGTTCTATCTAATGGATTTTAAAAAAAAAACAATTTTATAGTTGAATTATATCTCTAAAAATTTTTCTAAAATAATCTTGCTGAAGTTGCTTTAGCTTTCATACATTTTCTTGAACGAATATTTTTATATCGTTTCTGAAAATTTTTAATTATATTTTAAATTCTTAAATCGTCTTGAAATATTTTTGAGAAACGAGAAATGTTCCAGAAAGAACACTTTCTTCCCTAAAAGTTAGTAGAAACAAAAGAAACCGTTAGTAAAAGTTTTTCACCTTTCCATACTTATTTTTGTATCACACTTCGAAAAAGATTTTACACTTTATATTCGTCTTTAACTTTAATGGCTTTCAAAAGTTTTTTTTTTTTTTTTTTTAGACAAAATTACATTTTTCAAGCAGACAGTGTGCAAACTTCGAACATGATCTGTAAATAAACTGAAAACACTATGTACCAGACATATCGATTCTTGTCTGTTCAAACAACTCTTACTCCCCTGTGACCTTGAATTATTCGAAGGTCGCATCATAGGGATTCATTGAATTCGCTTTCTTTATCGAAGTTTTTATAAAATAAAGATAATGTATTTTGATCTTTATAAAGAAACTTTATAAAAAAAAAAAATTATACAATATTAGAGTTTAAAGAAAAAGCTATGATTAACTTTATATTCATAAGATTCTTATTCTTCCATCTTTCGATAATTACTTAATGAAATGCCTATTTTTCAAAATCTATATGTTCGTTTATAAACTTTTCAAGCATTGTGCAAAGCTTAAAAAATAAAAACTAATTATTTAATACAGAAAAAAAGTCTACCAAATATACAGTTTTTCTTTTTAAACGTAGTTTTTCTTTCATAATATAATTAAAAAAATAATAATTGATCTAACGGTTCAAACTCTATAAACTTAGATTAAACAGTATTAATTGCACATATATAGGTTGCTCTGAGACCCAAGCACGCCATCTATTACATTCAACAAATTAATAAGCACATATTCGCTCACGAAATAACTCTTTCAACCGTTTCACATTTCATCAAAATGATATCATTAAATTCCATCGAAAATATTATCAAATTAAAATTCTCTTTTCATATCTCTTCAAACAATTAAAACTTCGATATTCGAAAAAATTCTAACACGATGAAAACAATTCGCCAATCAATTTTTCAGGATTTTCCAATTACTTTATTCTCAGTGGATTTCTCATTAAAGAGTTTCGAGGATTATTCTTTCAGATTCTCTTTTCGGAAGTAAAATCCAGCCTATTTTTTCCCTTTTCATTCGAAATCGATGTGGCAAAGAAACAAGAAAGGGGATGATCATTATTCGTTAAATAACAAAATGGAGAGCAATCGAGATTGAGAGAGGAAATGGATCAAAGTATGAGACCCATTTTCAAACGGGACGCGTGCATGTGCGATGGAAATGGCGTCACGAACGCATCAAACTTCCGGAAAGAATAACGAGATGCGTATTATACGTGTCGTTTTGAGGGCATCGTGTATTCCAAGTGCGTGTTCGCATCGAGTAATTTTTCACAATCGTTTTCAATTGAACAATTGTCGATAATGCCTTTATTTCGCTACGAATGAAATGGAGGACAGTGTATCTTTTACATTTCTGGAATTTTTGAAATATATATCCTTACATGAGGAAAGGAACCATAAAATACGGACGAAATAGAATGATTTTATTTGGAAATTTTTTCGTTTCTTCCTTTTTTTTTTGTTGTAACCATTCGAAGTGATATTTAAACCAATATATATTATTTTCTATCTTTTATTAAATTATAGTATACAATGAAAACTACTTTCTTAACTAATTTATGACATAAGATATACAAGAACTATCGCTTGTTCGAACTAAAAAGTTGAAAAAAAAAAGCACAAGACCATCACTTTTAACAAAACTTTCACTCTCAATCTTTTTACTTCAACAAATATCGAATTTCCAAACACAAACAGAAACAAATTTGTCAATTACTCGTGAAACGACCACCGATAAAAATATTTCGATATTATCAACACCCTGAAATTTCTAATTCCAACCCCTCTTTTCCAGGCTGAATATCTGTTCAGGGAAAATCCAGAGGGCAAGATGTTCGAGCCGGAGCACACGAACGCTATGGCCTCGATTCTGAACATGATCGACAAATTCAATACCTTCTTGCTTCCCGAGGAAGAGGTGAGCAGCCAAGTATTACAACTGTTGAAACGGAAATCGCCAACGGAAGAAATAGAATCCACCGATTCGGACGTGTGCACGGCTCAAAAGACTTATGTCACACCGTGTTACACTTGTGACGACGACACGTGCGTTGATGAAGAGACCTCCGAGCTGACCGAACCCGACGAAGAGGATTGACGAAACTCGAAGACAGGAAGATGCAGGTCCTGGAGGATTTGCATGTTTGGCCAAACGGATTGATAATTAATTAATCTGCACGTGACACGATAATGGCAATATTTGGTTTGGCAACGTCATCCGGAATTCCTGTAATTTGTTGAGCCGTGCATACTAATGAATCCTTGCAAAGCGATATTTGCATAATGTATCGATTGCTCGTGCTACGGTCTCTTTGTCTTTTTTGGATCGGATATATATTGAAATTTTGAAATTATAAATTTTTACGAGAAAATTGTTATTCAGTTTTATATTTTCGTATAAGATACTTGTAAAATATATTGATACGTTTTAAGAGGGTTGAATAGGAAGAAATATCGATCCGTAAATGTTTAATAATTTTCGTTTTGGATATTTGGATCCGGAGGAAAAATGTAATGAATGAATATATATTTGTGCGAATAAAAGTTAAAGATTATAGAATTATATATAGGATTTGGAAATTTAATAATTATAAAAATTTTCTGGATAAATTATGAAAAAAATTTGTTTTTATTCTTTGCGTGTATCGTATTGAAATTATATTGGTTTACAACAATATATCGTCAATTATAATTTTGATTCGAGTGACGAATATCAAAATTTTCAAAATAATCCTTGTTTCAATAATTTAATAAATTATTTAAATTTATATATCCATCGAAATTTTGTACAATTCCCAAAGAAAATGAAATAAAAACTTTTTTCATCGATCATTTCGTTCTTAGAAAGATAAAAATAAGTTTAAAAAAATCAATAATTGTATTATTCAATTATATAATTTGTCAATTATAATTTTATTTCGTTTTATCAAATTAGTATCTTAGAAAACCTTGTCTTAAGTCCTTACAGCGTGCAACAGATGTCCCTTTAGAGGATAGTTTAAGCGATTAAAGGAAACTATGTGTGGAGATGGGATAAATCAAATAATTGGATCTAATTACAGGATATTTAAAATTTTAAAGCTTATTCTCGTTTTTATAAACCCATAACGATCCTTTAAAATATAGTTACAATTGTTTTTATAAAGCTAAATAATCTTTTATTTCAGAACGTATCGTAATACGTGGATAAAATGGACATTTTACGAGAAAGGTTTAATCCAACAGGTTTATTTCACAGATAAAATCGCCTTCACTTCTTAATGCGAAAGATTTAAGAGAAGGAAACAAAATAAATTACTTTATGTGTATATAATGGTAGAAACGTTTGATGCAAAAACATATGTAAGAGTCACTTTGTGAAAAATTTAATATTTAATTTTGTTTGACTTATGCATATTTAAAAATAAATTTTATTCAATGTTTAATTGTATCTGATGATAAAAATATATAAATCGCCTTGCGGCGATATAGTATAATTTAATTAAATTTGATCAACAAAGTAAAATTGAAAACGGGAAAATTTTCTTTTACTTAATTTTATTATGATTTTAAAGGTTTTTATAGATATTATAAAGACAATTTTTCTCTTTCCGTATGAAAATACAAAAATATCCCAATACAATTTTTACATTATACTATAGAAACATTCTACACGGCAAACGCAGGAAAATTTCATATTCCAAATCGACCGAAAGTTCTTCAAACTCAAATACAATGACAACGTTTCTGTGTCGTCATAGAAATAAAACGATGTAAAACGTTAAAAAATGTTATTTAACTTGTTAATCGAATCGCTCTTTCTGCCAGAAAGTTCTTTTGGTTAAATTAATTTCAGTACTTTTACTTAGATTTTAATATTTAATATTTATCAAAATAAATATAACGCGATGTATATACACTTAATAGACTATAATTGGAGAACGAGTTGATTAAAAAGAAACAACAAATTATTTAAAATATTATTTCGAAAAAAAACGATAAAATAAAATAAAAAATTATTTGAATTTATACCGTGAGATCGTGAAATTTGTTTCAATTTTTACAGATATAAATAATATCGATATATATTTAATAATTACATCTTCCACTTCCGTAGATTCATTTTCGAATCAATGATATTATTTCAACGAACAGAACGAAATAAAATAAAAAAAATTGCTCGAACCGATATCTAAATAACAAATGTTTAATTTCATAATTTCCACGAATGTAAATACAACAGTCTATATTTAATAGTCGTATCCTCCATTTCCTCACGAAACCTCTAAAACATAACTCTATCCTGCCTTCACGTCAATAATTCCAATATCCTGACCCTATAATCGAAGATCCGCTGTTCGATCTCGTTTGTTGATCATATATCGATAGAAATAGGATGTTACGCGTCATTTATTAGCGCCAAGAGACGAATCGTTTAATCGAAACATATTTCGAGAACCTCCATACGTCGAGATATGATATATGTATAGACTGCAGGATCCATGAATTCTCTATTCGAAACGTTACAGACCTTGACCGATTCACGGTCGTAATATTCGAAAATTCGAAACTACTATGAGATCGCTATTAACCGCACGTTCGACAAAGAGTTAATTCGATAACAATGGTTTCGTTCTAGGAACCAATTGTTGTAGAATCTTTTACGGGATAAAAATTTTTTCCTTTTCTTTTTTTTATAATAGCCTTTAGGTGTGGGAAAAATATATCGTTCTACAAATGAAACACGTTGGAAAAATGTTGGAAAGTAGCCAACTGCGATGAAAGTAATGTATATTTTTTTTTTTATTTGATAAATTTAAATATTTGGAATATTTGATTTTTATTGAAAATGCATGGAAGATGAAATAATATAAATATAATTGGAGTAAGCAAGATAATCTTAAACAGAGAGCAAAAGTGTGAAAATTAATTTAAAAGAGTCGCACATTAAAGAATTTGTAATTATGCAATAGCAATCACAATTACAATTAATTGAATTTAAGTTTCATCAAGAAAAATAGGATGGAATAATTAAGAAAAGTAAAAATAATTAAAATTAGAAGAAGCGTTGTGATTATAAAAATTCAAAAATCACGAAAAGTATTTGAGTAATTTATTTTAAAAAATCTATTTATTTACCACATTTAATTCTAATATTTCACGCGTTAATAATATAAATTGATTATGTAAAACTTTTAATATGATTCGACATGATACTTATAACCATAATAAATATATACAATGTTTGCGAATCGAAAGCAACAGGCAATGAAAAATGTTTACAATGATTCGTAAAAATACATAGGAATTTCAAATTCTTTTGGCTGACATTCATTTATTAGTTCGTTCGAGAATTTCTTCGTTACTTTAAGTGAAAAATCGCGTTGCCAAAGTGAAAGAAGAAAAAGAAAGAAAAAAGAGGAAAAGAAAGAGAAAATAGAAGAAGAAAAACGAAGAAAACAACAGACGTTAAATTCGATATTTTAAGCGGATCGGAATCTCTTCGATAATGGAATATGTTGATTTTCTGTCGCACAACGTATTATAATATTTCCTGAGGATGCACATCGCGAGCTTAAAATTCGTACTCAGAAGACTATGAACACTTTATCGAGCCATAGGCGATCTCACGAGGCCAAGGACGATGCACATTGTTCCGCGTCTTTAATATGACGTAGGTCTGCTCCTTTTGCCGTGAACATTTCTAGGTATCTATGCTTTTCCCTGTTTTCCCTTTGGAAACAAGCGATAAATTGCTTTACATCGAGAAAATATCGATAAAGGTACATTTTTTACAATTGTCATCTTCTCATCTAGAATTTTTAAATTTAGAATTTATTCGTGAAATGATTCGTCTACGATTCGTGCACGAATAGTATACTACGAAAAATGGTAGTGTAACATGAATTTTCTAATTTTTATAAAAAAATGTTATTTTAATTTGTAAAAATATGCGGAATGATTGATGAGAATTCAAGTGATTTTTCAGATAAAAGATTTTTTCACTGATACCATCCTTTTTAGATCCTGGTGCACATAATAAATCACGTTGTCGTTTTTATCATCTTTGATATTTTTATAACGTCCATCACGTTCTTTTTTCCTCTCTTTCTCTCTCTCTCTCTCTCTCCTTCCTTTTCTACTTTTTATCGGATAGTTAAGGCCATAATTGTTTCTTTTAACTTTCACAACGGACCATTATCGATCCCTCATAAATATAAATAGAGTCAATGTGTGCCAAGTTCAAAACGATACGCAACACCTACACGATCGTTGTGTATCGTCTGCTGAAAATATGCCACGATAATAAATCCCGACACGCGGGACGACGCGTCAAAACATTGGAAAAAATTCTACGGGACGAGATTTTGTTTATTCTTTCGAACTTGCCAACTTTTATCCTTCTAATAAATAAAGAGACAAGATAAAGTAAATACAATTATTCGACGATGCTATTTCAGGAAACATTGTATCTTTATTTTTATAAAGTGGAAGAATTTTCAATTACGTATCGAACGATCCATAATTCGTTACATATAGCATATTCTTTGCTTCAACAGGTAAAACGTTCCTACATCTCTCGTCATTTCCTTACTCCATTTCTCCTTAACATCGTGATATCGATTCAAAATTATCGATCGCGTCGAAAATAAAAGTCCTCCCTCCCTGAACGCACTCCCGAATTACAACAACAAAATCTCGAAACAGAAATAGATCGATTTTACGCACAGATCCAATCTCATTCAGGATATATAATCATACTCGATTCTGAATTTTCGAAAGGAATTGTCAAAGAGATACGGAGAAACGATTCGACGGAATATCAAATATCACCTCGAGATGCTTACGCGACGAGTAACGTATATAGCCAGAGCGCGGCCAGTATATCTGTATCTTCAAACACCTGTTAGCAACTCGTGTGGGCGGCTCGCCACATCGCCTTTAAATTCTCGCCGTGATTAAGCGGCTTCCTCTCGTCCACGATTCAATCGTATCCCGGTTGCGTCCCGTTCAATCGTGTCCACGTCGGACACGCGGTTTTCTTTCGACTCGTCTTTTCTCACTCTTCACTTCGTTATATCGCTCGCGTGGCTTCGCGATATCTCACTCGCGCGCACGGTGAATACACGGTGAAGAATACGCGCACCAAGCACCGCGGGAAAGAATGAACGAAAATTAGAAAAAAAAAAGAAAGAGAAGAAGAAGAAGAAAAAAAGAGAAGAAAAGACACGTAAAAAACTTACCGGCATAACCTTGCACGGAATAATTCGCTTCCTCGCTGGGGACCACGTTGTCCTCGAGGACGCTCTCCGATGCGGTCTTAACGACACCCATATCCTTTCCTCCTCTCCCGTATACGGTGTACACGCTGTAAGAGTATAGAACGAAGTAAGGATGTTCGACGATGGATTACCTCGGCTTGATCGTGCCGCGTTGTCTGCCGTTGCCGGAATGCTCGGCGCCGTTTCGTCCACTTATTGCGTCTGCGTCCGCGCCTGCGTTATCCCACTCTCCCTTGAGCCCTCCATCCTTCTTCCCTCCTCCCTCCTTGACCCCTCGCGTGCGTATACACCCCCTACCCCCTTCTGTTCTTCCTTCACCCCCGTGCACATCCGTTCCTTGGCCAGGAGAACACGTCACAGGAGAACAAGGCAATCTCTAGGCCAGGGTGAACACCGCACACCTAGCACGGAGAATTGAACTGAGGGTGGGAGGGGGGAGAGGGTGAGACGGTGGCGAGGGGGGGGGGGAGGTGAAGGGAGTAGCGTGACGGTGTACTTGTATTTGTATATGTGGCGGTGGTGTAGGCTGCCGGTCTAGGCTGCCGTGCCTCGACACGTTCAATTGCCACGGCGTGTAGGGGGTTGGTTGGACCGTTTTTGCCGCTTCCATCCGCTTGCGAAGCGCGCGATCCCGCGGAAGGGCGGGGTGCGGCAGTGATACAGGGGCAATGTCGAGCAACTGGGTCTCGGTGAAGGTCTCGGCTGAAGCCGAGCTACTCGTGCCCGATAATGCATCCTTCTTCCTCTTTTCCGCGCGCCTCGTCCTCCTCTTTCTCCCTCTTTCTCCCGCTCTCGCTATCCATGTCCCAGCAGATCGGGAGGATCGCAGATTTGCTTCCTCGCCTCGACGTTCGTTTCAGATTTTTGTGCATACGATTGATTGTTGCGTTTTATGGAACAAGTAGTTGCAACGCGGTAAAAGAAGAGATATGGAGCGCGTACGAAGTGTATGGGTGCAGGGTTGCGTGGATGGAATGCGTGTTTGTGGAAGGACAAACTTTATGTAACTGTATGAATAATTTTGTAAAACAGGTAAACAGGTATAACTTTTGTGAATTTTTACGAACAGGATTATCGGATTTACACGAGTTTGCAGCACGTGCACGTCCTTGAAAGCGTGCGTGGATATATAGATAGCTACGGGTGCATGAACCAATCCTCAAATTGTTGTTGCGTTTTATTTACGCTCTCGAGAACTTTTGCTCGATACTACCCCCTTTAAAGCGTTAACTAATTATTTTTATGGTTGAAAATTAAGCTCTGCGCGAAGTGTTTCAAGACAGGAGAAATGCAAAACTGAATTTTAAAATTTTAAAATTTAAATCAGATTCCTTTCAAAAGAAAGCTGAATTTTTTCAAAAAGTAGCCATTTAAAAATTATTTATTTTTATTGCATTTTCGGCTATCGATTATTTGTTTAATTTAAAATTGGCTAAAATTTCTTGCGTTTGATTCCTAATTTGATTTCATTTTCTCGAAATTGAGATCTCAAAAAACGTAGAAAACGTTATTCTCCCTTTTCTCGTCTCATTTTTGCGTGTAGAATCCAACTTTCATGGCCCGAATCGTCTCGCACAACCTGACCCGTATTAGAAACATAAGAGAAGCAATATACAAGTTGCTCGAATCCAACGATTAATAAAAGCCGAACAGCCTCCAGTTTTTTGCTCAAACATTTCTCGAACAGAAGAATTTCCAGGCATCATAAAGTTCTCCTCCAAGGTTTCGTGTAAATAGCACTCCAAGGATAAGAAGCCTGATAAATTTATTAATCGAGACATATCTCGCGAGACTCGCCCCTTCCTTTCCTTCTTTCTTTCTTTCTTTTCTTCTTTCTTTCTTTCTTTCTTTCTTTTTTTTTTTTCTCTAAAAACCCCTCGATATCAATCCTTCGATCCAAAGCATTTCATTCTCATTATCCACGGCTGCCTCATTGCGAATCTCCACCCTATGAACATTCACTTACGTCACGTGGCGCGAGGTCGCGCGCTCCCTCGTTCAACCGTGCAACGAAACTTGTTGCACGCGACCGACGATTAAATCTCGCCACCGAGCAACGTGCCATTTAACGAAGCCTCGGATCTCTCTCCCTTATCCAGTCCCTTCTGATCGGCAACGGACACGTGCCGATTCGATACAAATCCACAAATGATCGATCGTGGTTCAACCAAGGTCAACCTGGTGGTTTCTCCTCCCAACTTCCATCTCTGTCCCTCTTCGTCGAAACGGGATAGACACGGAGAGAGAGGAAGAGAGAGGAAACGTTTCCCTCTGATTTTCGACACCACCCCTCCTCCACCATCCCCTGTCGCTCTACGGCTCTTCCGTAACGACGTCCTCCTTCTCCACCCCCTCTGTTCTTCGTTCTCCGCCATCGGTTCTCATCGATCGACCGATCTCCCTCGCACGCACAGATCGCGTCGTGCGTGCCTCCAACACGCACACACGTACACGTACACGGATGCATCGGCGCAACTGGTGTAACAACGATCGATTTGAGTTCATTGTATGCCCGTCGCATCCGCTACTTTTTTCTTTTTTCATCCCTCTTGGGTTGCCTGGGAACGGTGATGCACAACGCTCGATACTCGTGTGCACGCGTTCCTGCCACGTGTCTCGGCCTCTCTTCTGGCGCGAAACTGATCGCGAGTTACAACGTGTTCCCGTTGTTGTCGAGGGATTGTCGAATCGATGAAGAGTAGAGGAATCGAGAGACGGTTGATCGAAGTGTCATTGATTTCGTTGCATGATACAGTGATGGATCTTGAATATCCTTCGAGCGATATCGATCGTTTGCGACGAAAGAATTATGGCATCGTTCGGGCGGAGAATTATTCAGAGATTATGAATAATTCAAGTTTATTATTGTTTAAATTGTTAGTTGATATGTATGTTAAGTAATTACTTCAGTGATGCGATAGTGGATAGGTTTAATAAAGAGATTCGTGAAGTATGTAACGTGATATTATTACGATATAATAATTATTGGTTTTTGAATTCTTCCACGAGTTTTCAGATTATGATATTCTTATAGCAATTCGAATTGTTCTGTTTTCTAATAAGAAAACGCTACACGTGTAATTTTAAGGTTTCGATTCTTTTGTTATCAATTTCTATTCATTTAAATAGTCAAAGAATCGATATCGATACCATAATTATTATATTTTTGTATATATAATAGATTTTGGGTCGCAATCCTTTTGGTATATCATAGTATTAGTATTAAATTGTTTGAAAATCATCAAAAAGTGAGTATATTTATCACTAGTAAATAGGAACGTTGTTCTAATTCCAGATATTCATAAATGATTGATATTGATCCAAAAGTTTTATCGTTATTTGAGGATTTATCGATATATAATTGGAGGATTATAATAAGTTTGTTATTGTTTGATAGAGGATTATGCGAGCTAAGAGCTCTACAATGTATAGTGGGAAATGGGATCTTATATGTTCTTTCATGTTTTATACATTTCTTTTAAAAGCTTTTTTTTAAGATTCTTGAATTCTAAGAAAATTGAAAATAAGAAATTTTTATGCTTAGTGAGTAAGATGGATAATTTATGATATGCTTTATCAAATGATAAGAAAAACAAAAAGAATTGTAAATATGTTAAATTTAAAAAATTACATGAGAAATATAGTAACTGTTGTTCCGATGTTTTATTTTTTAATAAAATATTCGTCTTATAATCACTTTTCTAAATATCATTTTTCGATTATTTAAGGGAAGTAGATGAGAAATATAATAAATAACGAAGAGTAAATACACTTTGTAATATTTAATTACAAAATTCACTTTATTTTCATCGTATTTTCGCATATGTTTTCATGTTTTCATTTGCAAACGGAAAAAATAAATACTATTACTTGCCAAATAGTAAAATCTACACTCTCCTTTTAGTCCGATGTAAAGTGAAAATAAATCAAATATTATGTTATGCTTTCAAAGAGTTGGAAATTCTGGGTTCTTCTAAATTGGTCGATAATTATTTTAAATTAAATTATATTTGCGATGCAAAACAATAATGTTACAGTGTGCGAAGAAAATTAGAAGAAAAATTAAGAAATAATTCAAAAATTTAAAAGAAATTTAAATAACGAAACCATTTGTTATTTGTTGCGAAAGAGAAAATAAGCTATAATTTATAAGAGTGAAAATATCTTTAAGTGAAATTACAAGTTTTCGTATTATCATGGATATTTATGAAACCATTTATTTATAGAAGGAAAAATGTTATGTGGGTGAAAAATTCTTGATGAATAGCGGGTGCACAGATTCTATTTATTTCTTAGGTGATTGAGGCGTTAACTTTTCTCTATTTAATAAACGATAACTGTAAATGTCATGACAAACTGTCGATAATGGGGCGTATTTAATAACCAAGCCTATATAGAGAAATGCGTTCTACCGTGTGTCATGAAAATAGACTAAAGTTTTTAATAGAATGAAGGAAAGGCAATATACCCGCCTAATAGTTAACCACCGTGTAGCTTGTCACGTGGACGAGCGAGACTAAAATTGTTTAATAGTTGGGAATGTCAATCGATATTGATGAGCAAAGTTAAACGAATACCAAATTTCTATTACGTTGAATTATAGCCTTGATGTGAATTGAATTTTCTTGAAAATTTTATGACAATGATGCTTGTGCTATTTATGATAAAATTATTAAATGTAACGAAATATAAAAATGTATAAAATTTTCCATTCCAAAATATATTGATTATAATATTTAAATATTTAAAAAATTTAGATAAATAATAAAATTTCAAATAATTAATACATAAATAATTAATACATAATAATAAGTAATACATAAAATTAACATATTTATTCGTGTATAACGTTGTTCATTATTCTAGTCCAAAATGCAAGATTATTCCTTACGAAATTAGATTTTTTTCTGTTCTTCAGTTTCTTCTACATGGTAAAATTAATTATTATTTTAATACTATTAATAATATATTAAAATTTGCAATTAAAATTACAAATGTATTATTAAAATAATTACAATTAATTAATAAAAATCAATACTTATTATTTTCACAGAGATGTAACAGAGTGCATGTGAGATATCATATATTACGTTTCTCTTTATTCGTACAAGAAAAT